AGCTGAAGGTGTCATCCTTCCTCCTCCGCAGCAGAGTGAGTTTCAGGTAGAGGAGACAATCGGTCTCTCTCCCCAGCGGCACAGTAAATTGCAGGGAGAGGAGGCAACCTGCCTCTCTACCCCCCAGCATCAGTGTGCAGTGCCAAAGGTGTCGTCCTTCCTTCTCAGTGGCAGGGTGAGTTACAGGGAGAGGAGATTGTCGGTCCCTCATCCCAGCAGCAGCAAGCGGTTCAGTGCCAGGCAGCACTACCGGGAGTCGAGACAGTCGGTCCAACTCCACAGCGGCAACTTACCTTCCAGGGAGAGGAGACAACCGGTCTCTCTCCCCAGCAATACGACAAGTTATTGGGAGTGGAGACTTTTAGTCTCACTCTTCAGCTGCAGTGTGTGTTACTGGGAGAGAAGCATATCGTCCTCTCTCCCCAGCGGCAGCTTACCTTCCAGGGAGAGGAGACAACCGATCCCTCTCCCCAGCTACAGAAGGGAGGCACTCCTATCCCCGATGGTGCAGATGGGACCGTGGTCTCTGCACCAGACCTACATGGATTCTGGATGGCTGGTCCAGATCCCTAACCCACACCTCAGGAATTCCAGGAGGAGGAGGTAGGCGATCCCTCCTCTCCACAATAGCTCCTTTGTCCAGGGCCTGAATACCTGCAGGTCACCGCAGCAGAAGTGCTGGCACCAGGGCAGAGCGCACTTGGTCTGCCCACCAAGTACCTACTGCTCCATACCTGGGAGTGCAAGGGAGACCAGGAGTACCAGATGCTTATTTGATCGCTGGAGACATACAGGACAGAGATGGGCTACAGCGGCCAGCAGGTCCAGAAATTGTGTGTTGTGGGTGGGTTACTCGACTAACTCAGGCACCGACTGACAGGAAGTCAGGTACCTGGTTAGTCTCCCTCTGGGAGGGAAGATGTGTGATGAAAGCAACTTCAACACAGGTTCTTGGAAGGGAGTACTTACCAGCCTTTTACAATGTGACTAACGCCCCTTTGATTTATTTTGGCTGAGAGACCTTAATTGTGCCTATTGGGAATGGCACAATGTACTTCGAACTTTCGAAGTAGTCAAAGTAGCACTTCGGATACAGCCAAAGTGTCAAAGTAGTTGAAGTGGCTCGATGCTCAAACACGTGGCAGGGGGCCATCTTATTTAGTCGAATGGGTTCAGCTGTGTTTTGTCATTGAGTTCATGGAACTCAAATTGGACATGCGATGGCACGAACACTGATGAAAAGTTACCTTCCAGGAAACTTTGACAAATCGAACGGGGGTCGAACGGCATTCGGTGAGTTGAAGCCCACGAAGGGCATTAAAGGGACACTCATGGACTATGCTCATTCACCATTCCGTTCGGGAATGCAAACAGCACTTCGACTGTTTAAAATAGACCGGCCGAACAGCATAATTATCTGGAACTGTTTTGGGCATGAAACCATGCATGCGGTCAGTCAAAAAGAGACTTCCAGGAATTTCCTGAACCCCTGATCTGGGTGATTTATGTGTTGTTCACCCAGATCACGGGATGTGACAGTTATGGGGATATGTTGTGTTTTGGGGTACTAATTGAACTTTATATAAATGTGTGGTTTTCTGCTTGGGGAAATTAAGTGTATACATTATCTGTCTTAATTGTATCACAGGCAAAGGGGAGGGATTGTAGGTGTGTTATGGGCATGTTGTACAGTTAATTACGGTTTACTCAACTAACTCAAGTTTATTCCCTTTGTGTCCCTGTGCCCAACAAGGTCCACCTGGGTGTTACCCTTGTTGGAAAACCTGTATAAAAGGCAGTGTGCCTCCATTAAACTTCAGTTCTTACTTTACCCTCAATACTGAGTTCGGTCTCTTATTGGAGGAAACTGCTATATCATACTCCCTTGGATAATCACTAGCTCTTGTAAGAGCTGTTCCTGCTATGCTCTCTGAAGGAAGAGAGGTTCGCCCACTGGAATCTGGGGTCTTGTCGTAGGTGCAGGGTGGGTAGGAGACAGTGAGATCCAAACCATGCTGTGGTGGTTCGTGGGGTCTGCAGTGCTGATGGTGTCTGGTGGAGTGCTTGGAGCCTTCAGTAAGCACTAGGAGTGTCCATCGGCAGAGGTACCCAACCGGGGTACAGGAATCTCCGTTACAGTCAACTTCCGAGTTAAAGAGTTTTCCAACGGTTTTCAAAATAGCCTGTTCACACTCCCCACTGGTATTCCTAAGTACCCTAACTTACAGTCATCACTAAAGCGTTGCTAACGTAAAAAATGAACAACGGGTTTATTATAGGCCCTTCCTCTGAACCCACTTTTTCCTGCTGGTGTACCAATCCCATAGGTATAGTCACAGGGAAGTTCAACAATAAACTAATTACGATTATTGGCTCCACATTTATTGTCCACCCCTAGCATCAACTCATTGATTCCCTCTGAGGAATTCTTCTTGCAATACACCACAGTAAATGATGCCATTCATGCTATATTGAAGGCAGGTGTAGGAGCCTGATTAGAGAAAACTGATGTTTCCAACGCCTTCAAGCTTTTACCAATACATCAGTCACTATGTCATGTACATGGCATACTGTGGAAGACCAAACTCGCCACTGTGCATTGGAGGAGCCTGGTTGCCTACCTGCTGCCTTTTGACTATGGACCAAAATTTACATACTTTATTTTCCTATGCAGAAATGTCTATTCATGTATTTCTGCCCTGCGTTCGGTAGATTCTCGGATTTACTGAATGAACTAATTTAACCCAGATAGCTATGCCATGGAGCCTATTCGTGTAATAAAAGACTTTGGCTCAATGGCAATTGAACTGTATGTGTGTGGTCTGAGCGCCATTCAGTAATAATGTGCGCTCAGACCTAAGCTATCTGGGGATATGTTGCATGTCTGTATTTTATGTAATAAATGTAACCTTGTGTATTTTACTGTCTTTTGCTACCATGTGGCTAATGGAGTTTTGCCTCTGTCCTTGGAGATAATTGGATTACTTCTCAATTATCTCCAGGATAGAAAACTCTGTGGAACTGGTTTTGGGCAGAAAAGCCATGCTTCATTTGGTCACAAAGGACTTTGATCTATCTTTTGAACCACTGGACCAATTTGTATGATTTTGACGTATGTTTGTATTTGGAATATGCTGATTCTGAAAATGTAAGTGTGATGCATACTTTTAAAGTTATGAATAATGTGGAAAAACTGTATTCCTCTGCCTGTGATAATTACATTAACCCATTGTGTAAGGTAATTGGATCACAGGCAGAGGGGAGGATTTTGTGTGGGAGTCTCTGAGTGTATTATACGTGTTTATTGGTTGTTTTCCAAAACCCTGTGGGTGGTACTAATGTGTAAGAATGTGTATATAAGAACAATAAACCCACAGCTCTGTCTGTTCCGGTTTTGACCCTCAACACGGAGCCTTGTCTCGTTCTTTGAGGGATTTATTCTATGCTGTTCCAGTTCGACTGCTAGGCGTGTAAACCTTTCTTATGGTTTTTCCTATTCGACTGTTCACAGCATTTGTATGCTTCTCCGGTTCGGAAGATTTATGTCTACAGTAGCTGTGCCTGTGTCTCTGGAAGGGGAAGATCTACTAAACGGCTGTTTAACCCTTTTATGCCTGGGGGTGCCATTACAACTACTTTGCCACACAACTGACTTTTGGTGCTAAGAGTGGTCCAAAATTATTTGACATGTTTTCCAACACGTTATGTTGGCTACTCAACGTTTCCAAAGGCCCATCAGTCATGCATTATCTAGATGACCTACTTACTATAGAAAGCCTCAGTCCACACCTATTAGCATTCATAAGACAATGGCTCTATTTCAACTTTAGGTGTTACACTTCTCAGGACAAACAGATGGCTCTTCTAATCTTACTTTCCCAGGAATTCATCTAGACTCAATCTTGTTACAAGCCATACTGACTAGAGTATGGTTCCACTAGATACACACGCTAAAGCAGACCTAGGCATGTGGCTTAGTTTTCTATCTCGTGGAATAGTAAGGCAAAGTTATTATGTTACACTCCACCTACGAAGAAGTAAGTAGAAGTATAGATCAGGGTGTTGCCGTGGATGTGATCTATTTGGATTTTGCCGAGGCATTTGATACAGTTCCACACAATAGATTAGTGTTCAAACTCAAGGAAATCGGTCTAGATGAAAATGCTTGTTCTTGGGTAGAACATTGGCTTAAAAACAGAGTACAAAGAGTTGTCATTAATGGTAAATTTTCAAGCTGGACAGAGGTGGCAAGTGGTGTCTCTCAGGGGTCTGTTCTGGGACCCCTTCTATTTAACATGTTATAAATGATCTTGAAGACCGCATTGAAAGTCATGTTTCAGTGTTTGCAGATGACACCAAACTTTGAAAAACAATACAATGTGAGCAAGATGTTACTTTGCTGCAGAGGGATTTAGATAGACTGGGGGACTGGGCACTCAAATGGTAAATGAAATTTAATGTTGAAAAATGCAAAGTTATGCACTTCGGCGTAAAGAATACACAAGCAACCTATACCCTTAATGGAAGCGAATTAGGGATAACAACACATGAAAAGGACTTGGGAATTGTTATAGACAACAAACTATGCAACAATGTGCAATGTCAATCAGCAGTGGCCAAGGCCAGTAAGCAGGGCCGGACTGGGGAAAAAATTAGGCCCGGGCATTTTTCAATCAGAGCGGCCCCCTAAGAAGGGGGCGGGGCCAGAGAGGGTGTGTTTTGTCATCACTAATGACAAGCACGCCTCCTCTCAAAGTGAGCATGTTGGTTCAATGCCAGAGCTGCGCTGAAGAGCTCTGGCATTAGAAAAAGGCCCTGTATTTGTTCTGCGCAGCGCAAGCAAATTTAATAACATGCTTGCGCTGTGTTTGCTTTTAAATTGTCTCTGGTGTCTCAACAAGTGGGATACCAGAGGACAAAAGGGACAGGAAAGTGTATGGTGCATGTGTTTGGAGCCTGCTTGTGGGATTGCGTGTGTGTAGAGTGTGGTGTGGTATTGTGTAAATAGGTCAATTTCATATGTGTTTGTGGTGTAATATGTGTGGCTAGGGGCTGTAGAGAGTGTGTGTATAGGTGGCATAGTGTTATAGGGGATGTAGCGAATGTGTGCATACGGGCTGTAGTGTGTGTGTATAGGTGACGTAGTGTGTGTAGGGGTTGTAGAGAGGGTGTGTTTAGAGAATGTTGTATGTGTTTGCTGACAAGGAATGTAGTGTGTGTGTAGGTGGTGCAGTGTGTGTGTGGGAGATCTAGTGTGTAAAGGACCCAGAGTGTGTATAGGAGATTGTGTGTGTGTGTGTGTGTATAGAGGATTAAGAGTGCATATAAGGTAAGGGATCTAGCGTGTATCTGGAGCGTAATGTATGTAGTGCTGTAGTGTGTGTGTGTGTGTGTGTATATATATATATACATACATATATATATTTGGACGTATTGTATGTGTGAGGGGCGCAGTGTGTGTGTATGTAAGAGGGGTGCTGTGTGTGAGGGTGTTTTTATCTGCCGTCACATTCTAATTTTCTTTGTCTGTTAACTCACTGAGGGTTATTTTATATATTATATATATATATATATCTGTAAATATATATATATATATATATATATATATATATATATGTGTGTGTGTGTGTGAGCGAGGGTGCTGTGTGTGAGTGAGGGTGCTCTGTGCCTGAGTGCGCTGTGTGTGTCTGGGTGCGCTGTGTGTGTCTGGGGGTGCTGTGTGTCTGGGGGTGCTGTGTGTCTCTGGGGGTGCTGTGTGTGTCTGGGTTCTGTGTGTCTGGGGGTGCTGTGTGTCTGGGGGTGATGTGTATGTCTGAGGGTGCTGTGTGTGAGTGAGGGTGCTGTGTGTGAGTGAGGGTGCTGTGTGCCTGAGTGCGCTGTGTGTGTCTGGGGGTGCTGTGTGTTTCTTCGGGTGCTGTGTGTGTGTCTGGGGGTACTGTGTGTGTGTCTGGGGGTACTGTGTGTGTCTGGGGGTACTGTGTGTGTCTGGGGGTGCTGTGTGTGTCGGGGGTGCTGTGTGTCTGGGGGTGCTGTGTGTGTCTGGGGGTGCTGTGTGTTTCTGGGGGTGATGTGTATGTCTGGGGGTACTGTGTGTGTCTGTGGGTGATGTGTGTGTGTGATTTTTTTATTTAAATTATTTTTTTATTTTATTAATAATAATAATTTTTAAAAAAGTTATATCCCCCCCCTCCCTTCTTACCTTTAGCCTGGGAGGGGGGGGGGACCGTTTTGCCTGGGACGGGGGGGAGCCGTTCTGCCAGGGAGGAGAGCCATGCTGCCTGATCCCTGGTGGTCCTAGTGGTGAGCGTGAACTCTAGCCTGTAGGTTAGAGTTCACTCTCGCGAGATCTGAGCGTTGCCGCGGTAACCGCGGCAACGCTCAGAATCCCGCGAGAGGACCCGGCGGAGCTGCTGGATAGAGCTCCGCCGGTCCTGTCCTCCCTCCCTCACACCCCAGCAAGCGGCCGCCTGGAAGTGTCTCTGGGCCGGTAAAGGGAGATCTTTGATCTCCCCACCGGCCCATGGAGGCACACAGCGGGGCCGGCGCTCGGGTAGCGCTGGCCCTGCAGGAGCCGGCCGGGGAGATCCTGTGATTTCCCCTGCCGGCCTCTGCCCCACGGCCATCGCGGCCCACCGGGCATTTGCCCGGTATGCCCGATGGCCAGTCCGGGCCTGCCAGTAAGGTATTGTCATGCATGAAAAAGGGCCTTCATTCTCGGGACGAGAATATCATTTTGCCTCTTTATAAATCACTGGTAAGACCCCATATTGAATATGCTGTGCAATCTTGGGCACCTGTTCTAAAGAAGGATATTATGGCAGTAGAAAAAGTGCAGAGGCGGGCTACAAAACTAATAAAAGGAATGGAAGATATTGGCTATGAAGAAAGGTTAACAAATTTAAACCTATTTAGTTTAGAAAAACGTCGCCTGAGAGGGGATATGATAACATTATACAAATATATTCGGGGCCAATATAAACCATTGTGTGGAAATCTATTCACAAACCGGACTTTACATAGGACACGAGGCCATGCGTTTAGACTGGAAGAAAGAAGATTTCGTCTAAGGCAAAGGAAAGGTTTTTTTACTGAAAGAACAATCAGGATGTGGAATTCTCTGCCTGAAGAAGTGGTTTTATCAGAGTCCATACAGATGTTCAAACGGCTACTAGATGCATAGTTGCAAGAACAGAATATTCAAGGATATAATCTTTCAATGTAGGGTAATAACTGCTTGATCCAAGGATAAATCTGACTGCCATTCTGGGGTCAAGAAGGATTTTTTCCTAGCTTGTTGTAAAATTGTGCTTTAAACTGGGTTTTTTTGCCTTCTTTTGGATCAACAGCAAAAAACAAATGTGAGGTAGGCTGAACTTGATGGACGCAAGTCTCTTTTCAGCTATGTAACTATCTCTGAACATCCCCAGTCATATGGACCGATGCTGCAGCCCACACAGGGTTCACAGCTATCTCAGTGACTCCTGGTTCAGAGATTCTTGGCCAGTTGAGACCTGTGGCCTACCCTTATTCCACACTATTTCAGCTCTATTTGAAATCTACCCTATTGTGGCAGCATCCAAAGCCTGACGGTAAGGAAAAACAGAAATGTTTTTCAGACAACAAAGTTGCTAGTGACATCATAAATAAGGGCAGATTCTCATCACTCAACATCATGACACTAATCTAATTTCATTTTGCATGAATACACATCCCTGGCTGCATTAACAAAGCTGTTGATGCTTTGTCTAGTTCGCAGGATTTCTTTAGAACACACCTTACAGCCAACATCAGTCCGGTCAGCACTTCCTCATACCAAGACTAAATCGCCTCATGGCTCACAGCAAATACCTGGCCAGCTCTGCTCTTTCTACCAATACATCACAGGCTTACAATAGGGATTTTTCACTCTCTATACCAAATCCACTTCTATCAGATCAGTGACACACATTCCCTAGACTGCATAGTGGCGTTTATCTCTTTGGCCACCTTAACCTAAAATTATCACCATACACCATAAAACTCTACCTCACAGGGATACATCATCACATCCTAAGTGCCTAAACTAGCATGAATCCTTTTAAGTCTACCTATATCGTCAAGAATATACTGAAAGGCATACAACGTTTGGAAAAACCACTACCACTACTAGACAACCTATTGATGGGCCTAAATGTCACACACTTTCAGACATACATTCTAGACACCAATCTGTTTGAAACCAGCACTAATATGATAATTAAAATGGCAGCCTATCTAGCCTGCTACGGCTTCTTACGTCCAAATGATCACACCCAACCATTTACACCTAAAACTTAAGAGCCTACAAAATATACTGATCATTATGTACATACCTTTGATCACACCAAGACAAACCAATTAGGCCCTCCTACTGAAGTATGCTACTACCCCACCGGTCCAACTAAAGTACTGGGCTCCTATTGTTCTACACTAGACGGTCTAAACCCAAGTACACCATTACTCTGTTACATGGCAAACCTCTGACCACTATTAAATTCATTTTATATATTAGAACACCCGTATAATACTCTGTCTGGACCCTTCTGCTTTTCTGGCCACTCCTTTGGAATTGGAGCCGCTACCGCGACTTCAAGCCTCAATGTACCTGCTCATATAATTAAGAGATTAGGGCGCTGGAAGTCAGCAGCATATACCAGATATAACCACATCTAGAACAGAAATTAAGGTTATCAGTTAAACATTTAACTTTGCAAATATGTGTGTAATAAAGGTTATTTGCAGAATATATATTATTTGTATTTTTTTTTTTTTTAAATGTAGCTTGGCTCTCCACCAACAAAGGGCAAAAAATAAATAAACAAATGTCTAGGTGCTAAAACCTATGTTGCATTTAAGAACAATATAAAAATAGTGTGCACTCACAGGTCTTCCAATGTATCAACATTATTTTATTATAATCCATATCAGCTGTGCATACAAATCAATGTTTCAACCGGTTCGGATCTTTTTCAAGATTCTGTCAGTCTCTTCATTTACCTGTCAGAGCATTCTGATTGGTTGGCACTATATAGTCCTTAACCCCTTAAGGACCACACTTCTGGAATAAAAGGGAATCATGACATGTCACACATGTCATGTGTCCTGAAGGGGTTAAGTACCCCCCACCTTCAGGGCCCCCCTCCCGCTGGGCTGAAAGGGTTAAAACCCCTTCAGCCACTTACCTTAATCTAGCGCCGGGCACCCTCGGCGCTGGTGACCTCTCCTCCCCCTCCGACATCAGCGCCCGAGGGGAGTCAAATGCACATTCAATGCTTTCTGCGTGCTCAATTTTTTTTATTGTCGGCTATGGGACCATGCCTGCGGGCGGCCAAATAAATGACTTCCGGGAAATTCCTGAACTGATGTGGGTGATTTTTGGACATGTTGCTCACCCAGATCAGGGCTATCAGGGGATGTAACATTTGTGGGGTTTTATGTATTTTAGGGTAGTTTTGGGGTGTTAAAAAAAGTGCTGTTTTTTTTCCTGTGCTTGGAGAAAATTGGCTTAGAATTAGTCTATTTACAAATCCAATTATCTCCCAGGCAAAGGGGAGGGTTTGTGTGCTGTGTGTGGGACTGTCGTGCCTTGTAACCTGATTATTAGTCTGTAAAGTTACAAATCAGTCCCCCAAGGCCCCTTGGGTGTACCCCTTGCAGGGGGATTGTCATAGAAGGCCAAGTGTGGCACCCATTAAACTGAGATTAGATTACCCCTTCATGAAGTCTTGGCTCATGTTTGGTGGATTTGAGCACTACATACACTCTGGGAATACTCCCCTGAGTATAATCATTAGCTCTTATAAGAGCTGTTCATGCTATGCTCTTTGGACTAGGAGAGGTCTACCCACTGGAAGCTGGATCCTGGTCTTGGGTCCAGGGTGGGTGGAGGACGGTGAGATCCCCAACCAAGCTGCATCAGTTTATGGGAGTCTACGGTGGTTATGGTGTTCCATTACAGTGCTTATGGTGCTCATAAGTACTAGGAAGCAGATATAGATCCAGGTAAATTCTTTCACATACCCGGTCTGGGTGCAAGGCGGTACATCACAAAGAGTAACCCAAATTAATGGGAATATATCAATGGGATAAACAACAGTATTTGGAATCACTTTGGTATATATCCTAATTATAGGGAGGCAAAAGCCTCTTTGGAAATAAACGCCTTTTAATTACTATTTTGAACCAGGCATTGCTTGGTTC